AGGTCTCACGGCCGCCTCCACCTGGCAAATGCCAAGCGGAGCTGCCGCTACCTTTCTATCCTATGCTTCGACGCGCAGTTCTCGAGAAAGGGAAGCGCTGGCTTTCGTTTTGCAGCTTCTCAGGTTTTCCACACTCAACAAGATGCCTTTCACAGGCGGAAAGTGCGGTTCACCTGAACATGTTCCGATCGACATGGGGATTCAGCGCTGGCTCACGTCGGGGTTTGGCTTCAGGAAGCTCTTCCCACCGGTGGTGAGCGGCACCTGCGTGACCCTGATCGGTGCTGGGCTGATTGGCTCCGGCATCAAGTACTGGGGAGGAGGCACGTCGGTCCCGCGCGAGGAAGGAGTGACGGGAAGGCGGGAAGGTGGGGAAGAGGAGAGAAGATGTCCTTTGCTACTAGTAGCGAACATTGCTCCTAGTAGTAAGGCCAGGAGCTACTGCTAGCGTCCTTGCTCCTAGTAGCGATGCTCTTGTTACTAGTAGCGTCCTTTGTTACTATAAGGCCAGGAGCTACTACTAGCGTCCTTCCTCCTCCTTTGTTACTAGTAGTTTCTTGTTACTAGTAGTAAGGCCCGGAGCTACTAGTAGCTTCTTGTTACTAGTAGTAAGGCCCGGAGCTACTAGTAGCTTCTTGTTACTAGTAACTAGTAGTAAGGCCAGGAGCTACTACTAGCGTCCTTGCTCCTAGTAGCGATGCCCTTTTTGTTACTAGTAGCTTCTTGCTACTAGGAGACCAGCACAATCGCGACACGCACCGGATTGCAGCTTCTGGACCCGTCTCACAGGCCTGGTTTTTGACCTCAAACCGGAGCAAGTTGGGTCACGAATGGAAAAAACAGGATCCATAGTGGATCCATCAGTTCCATAGGGAAGAGCTTGCGAATCCAAAGCAGAATAGAAATTTGGCACCTTCTAGCCCAAACTCATTGATCACACCTTGCAGCGATTTTGGCTGGTGCACCAACTCAGTAGCTCCGACCATTTTTTTGTTGACGGTGTTGACTGACGCAAGTGATGTGCCATGTGCCACTTCAGAATACTTCAGATACTTGTATTTGCTTTGTACTCCGTATATTTCTACTGCAAAATCCCGGAGGATGTTGCCTTCCCAACACCAATTCTCTTCATTTCAGTTTCTCCGAACATTTCACCGTTTTCTTCGCGCTTGGTCCAGCCGGATCGGAGAGTCGCCAGGGGTGCCACACTTCTCCGAACGACGTCACGTGCCGGGGCCGCCGCTCTGCCGGCGCTCCACGACGGCAGGTGTCTTCTGCGCCGAGAACGACATGTCCCGCTCTGCCGCCTTCGGTGGACCGCAAATGTGTAGCGGGAACGGCGATGTGGTCTTGCCCTATGGCCACGTGGCGGGAATCGCTGGGTCTTAAGGTCGGTTCGTACGGAGAGGAGTTTGGGTTTTGGTGTTGGTTTCAGTCAGCAAATGCTTGTACATGAGTGTTTTTCCAGGTGAACACCAAGTTTGGGTAGGAAAGTCGTCCTCTTTCTTGACAGCGTACTGAAAGACTTTGGACCCAAAACAAAATGTTTGGCCTGAATTCAAGTTAACGTATACCGAAACATTGGTCCAAAAGTTGGTCCAAAGAAGAAATCAACTTTGTTATTTTGTGGTCATGAATTGTAATTGAAGAATGTTCTGCTCCAAGTGATTCAAGGCTTGGCTTCCAGATTCTACCCGATGTACGGAGACAGACGAGATGGGTGAAATCGATGATGCTACCTCAATGGAAGATATCCTCAATGGTACAGACTTCAGATAAGAGGAGTTCTCTATACTGCAGGGGTCAATGTATAGGCATGATCTATTCCGTATACATGGAGTGATCTTTTTAATTTTACATGGAGTCTGTTTCAATAGGTACAGTCGGTACAGATGGGCTGGTCGTGGCTATGTCTAGAGCTTGGTTCTGATCCGGTTCCCGGTTCCCACCGGTCGAGGTTACTGCGGTGTGGTTTTTCGAACCCGAAGACCTGTCCCAAAGCATTCGAACCCGAAGACCAGGTCGACCGCTCCGTCGATGTGGGGTCTCCCATGTCGCCACGAGATCAGACGTAGAGAAGGAAGCGAGCTTCCGTGATGCCGCGGACGCAGTGAAACAGCCACCTCAGGAGCTCCTGAATACATTGGTTTGGGCTTCAGTGTCATGATCTTTCTGATCTTCATCCAAGCCGTTTCTTTACTTGCAATGTCGGAAGGTCAAACCCGGGCAGAGTCACCATCGCCAATCTGGTTTGGGCAGACCAGGTGATGTGCATTTTCCTGATGGGTGAATCCCCTGCTCTTGTTTTCCCCGGCATCCTGGACAGCAAATCCAAGTAAAGAAGGGCAAGAAGGAACTCGTCAACTCTGGAAAATCTGCTTGGATGTCTTTGCAGAAGGGCCCGAATCATATCAAGGGGACACATACTACGCACATCGAATAGACTTGTCTATGCTCATTTATATTGTTCTGTTTGAAGACAACCCGACCTTGCAGCAATGTTGTGAATGCTGAAAATCATTGGCACCACCCAATTTAGATTCCTTTCCAACAGCAGCAAGTACATACGACCAGCTTCTTCTAGAGCCACCTCTTCCTTTGCTGTCTCAGGTCGGATCTCCCTTCCTGAAGAATTGCTCTGTAGCCTTGGCTCTCTTCTTTGGATACTTCTGCGCAGGGGTTGCCTTCAAGACTGATGCCACCTCTGGTGAGGCACCGGCCCGCATATGCCCGCGTCGATGCTTTGCCCCATGGCGTGGTCCCGGACCAGGGAAGAACCACCCGATCTTGAACACCCATCTCGCGGAGGTCGCAGCCCAGGTGTCAACATGTTGCCGATACTTTGACCCAGTCTGTAGCAGATACGTTGGACAGGTCGATTTAGTTGTTTAATTTCACCAAAACTGATTCCAGAGGTTCCAAAGAGGTGTCTGTGTTATTTGCATCAGGGTGCTCATGATCAAGATGGGATCGACATGGATCATCAGCTCGACACTTAGAGTTCCTGATGAACATGCTTTCTTAACTCAGCTTTATGATTGCTTGTTAGCCACTTGCTTCTTTAGTCTTAAACTCAGCTTTCTTAACTAACTTTCCCCAAACATCTAGGAACCAAATTTTTAAGGCGAGCGCTTCTTCAAGGAAGCTGGGGGAGCTTCCTTGAAGAAGAGTGGGGGGGAGCTTCCTTGAAGAAGCGTGAGCTATCCTGCGTCCATATGTAGTACTAGCTTAACTAGCTAGGAGCGAACAAGTTTGTCATAGTTTGTCCCTTACTTAAACAAATAAGGAGGCAGGGCCACGGGCTAAAAAACAAACTGGCGGGCTAAAATAACGAAATTGGTCTTCAGAAAAGGTGGTTTTTTTTGAACAGATTGCAACTCAAAACAAAACGCGGAAGTGGACGACGACCGCCTTCCAGGCCCTTCCACCAAACGTCTCTCCATACGTCTCTCCACCCACACATTCTGCGCGAAAGCAGCGCAGAAAAGAGCGGAAGGATCCAGTTTCGTCCGTGATTTCGGAAAGCCAGTCCCAACCAAAGACAGCAGATGTTTCCCCAGTCCCAGCCACTCAAGTGTTTCTTAAGGATCTCAAGCTGGCGCCATAATGGAAATTACATGAATGAACAAGTGGATTTCTGAAGGGGACTGGGTTTGGTGTGGTGTGATTCCGTCGATGTGATTGCAACACAAAAGGCCCTGGCCTTTGTGAACACCAACAAGATCGACGCTGCGGGGACCTTCACTTTTCTTTGGACCACCACCTTCAACATCGGCTCTTTGGGCGAAGTCTGAGATCGGGAGTTCGGCGAGTTCGGCGGGGGAAGACTGTTGGATGTTGCTACTAGTAGCTTCTATAGCTCCTGGCATTTCTTGTTTGTCCGGTGCCTTGTTACTAGTAGCTTCTAGCTACTGTAGTAATGAGCTTGTTGAGGTTAGTATGGCAAGCTGACCATTCCCGAAGAAGCATGATCTTCACTCTCGTTGGGCAGGGTTTGCTTCCAGTTATTTTTTTCCACGGTTCGCGAAGGATACAGTCCTTTTTATACTGCCAAGTTTGAGTCTCAGGCCCTAAGGCCTTGTTTTTTCAGTGAGTCTCAGGCCCTAAGGCCTTGTTTTTTTCAGCAAATCTGCGTGACTGTCAGAGTGAGGTGTCTCCAAAAGAGTCACTTCTGGAATCTGGCGCCAGTTCCGATGTGGGTGTATGAAATTAGGAGACCTCCCAGGCGTTCCGAAAAGCCCCTGACCCAAAAAAAGGACGAAGAAGGAAGGAATGGAGCAAAGACATGACACCCACTTCCCTATCCTTGTTACCTTCTTCTTTCGACATATCGACCCGTCAACCTTTCCAATCCTGTCCAGATGCGGTGGTTCGAATCACGTCCGGGGGGGGAAGTCTAGCCGCCATGAGCTACCTAGGTCACCTGGGTGTGTTCCAGCAATCACTGATGAGAGAGACTCTTGAGGAAAAAGAACAGTAAACCGACCCATAAAGATCCTGTGAGGCTGTAAGGCAAAAGGTGATGGCTCTTTTTTGAGACAAGAACGAACACCTAACCATGATTCACTGGGCCCTGGTCATGGGATATACCCAAAGTAGATGACACAACCCTGGTTCTATTTGTAGAGCATTTCCCTGTTCGTCTTCCATTGGACCATTCAAGAAAAGGGTGGCCTTGTTTCTTTACAGTAGTACGACAAGGGTTGTTCGGTAATCCTGGCATTTCAGGATCCTTGTTCCTGAGTCAATCACAACTGGTGTCTTCTCGTGCCATTTTACAGCAGTCTGCAGAGGATCATCATCTTCCAAGGGCACATTTGCTTCCCCTAGACCTCCAAATACCTTCTGAGAAGGTGGGACTGGGGTGGGTTTAGACGGTCCAAATACCTTCTGATGAGGTACGACTGGAGCCCTATAGGCTTCATTCTGCCTGGGTATCATATCTCTTCACACCGACAGACTGACAGGACCTGCGACCGCAGGTCACAAGTCTCCGAGGTTTCTCGGGACGATCTGAGAGGTGTTCATCCTTGGACCTATAGAGTAGCAATATAGTATATATATATATAGGGACCTAAGAGCGATGGCCTCCAACCTACTAGCTTCCGGCTTCCGGCTTCCAACTTTAATTTCCACTCCGGTCATCCTTTGATTGAAATTCATTCTGGGCTGCACAAGGCCGGTTGCTCTCGTGATACTGCTACCGGCCAACAATGCTACTAAGAACCAAACACACTGGTGACTTCATCTTTTTTGTACCACCACCACGTGTGAGAACCACCACCCTTTTCATCCTGAGGCTTCTATCCTCCTGCCTTCCTTCCACTGGTCTTGGGTTTCGTGATCACTTCCGTGGAAACCGTGGGTGACATCCAAGCCACCTGCGACGTCTCGGGCTTGCCCTTGGAGGGCCCGGATGCTGATTCTCGTATTCAAGGAGGCCAGACACCGCACCGTCGCGCGCGCCGCACGTGCTCCGAGCGCGAACCGAGCCGTTTCACTAGTCGGAAGCCGGAGCGAGGTCCGAAGCCGTCCGGCGCGGAGATGGCGGGAATCCTGGGGTGAGTTTGGGGGGGGACGAGGTGGCCCTTAAAAGAAGGATCAAAAAGCAGATGGGGACATGGACATGAATAGGTCATAGGTCATAATAGGAATTAATAGGTCTAAAGACTCGACCATAATAAAAGGATATACTGTAAAAGGAAAAGAACCGAAGACAGACAGTTATAACATGAATAGGTTATTCAATAGGTCAACACCGAGCTGGTCTTTTTCGACCACGAGAACCCTGGGGCGTCCAGTGGAATGTCCTCTTTCAGAGTCCCAAAAGAGTACCAGCACGCGACTCAACAGGTCACCAGCTGCGACTACTTTCAAGTCTGCAAAAGCTATGTTGGAGACCTGTTGGAGGGTGTTGGTAGATGATCGTCGCGTCCAGTGGGAGTGCCTGATTGCTTGCTCTGGGACATTCATTCATTCGGTAAAGAGAATTGATCAGAGGTTGTACAGGGATGCCATTTTGGCAGATCCGGTAAAGCATGGTAAAACCATGTGTTTTACCACTCTAACGTTGCGTGGTCTTCCCAAGGAACTGAGTTTTCAACATCAGTTGGCACGCTCCCGGCCTCATGCTTGGAAGTGGCATGGTCCCGTGACAGACTCTTCCGAAAACGAAGAGGGGGTTGCCGTCCACTTCCATGTATCCAGGGGGTTCCGTCGGAGTATGATACGCTTTCCGGTGATCTTGTGACAAACCCTGTCAATCGATCAAACATGTCAACCTGACAGGGTGACAAAGCCATAGGCTATAAAGCAGTTGACAGATTGATTGACATGAAAGAGTTGATCACATACGCCCCCCCTATGTTCACTTCAACTCTTTCAACTCTTTCATATTATGCTTTTTATGTAAAGAGTTGAAGTGAACATCGACCCCTCGAAGTCTCGAACATCTGACCCCCCTTTCCTTCAGTGGCCTTTCGAACACACGTGGCTGTGGACCAAAACCCGGATCCCCAAACCAGGGTAGGTTGACCTCCTTAGTAGTCCATTCTGTTCATTTTTGTGGTCAACCGAGGTAGCCCGGTTTTGACCCACACCCACGTCACACGTGCCTTGCTGGCAGGTTTGCTGGCCGATGGTTTGAACAGCATCTTAGCCGTGCTCATGACTTCGCCTCCGAACACCACCTTCTCCCAGTGCCGCGGATTAAGTTGCTTCAGAGCTGGGGAAATGAGGGCTCGTTTGGGAAGACCGAACTGGAAGGGTGAATCGGTCAAAAAAGGAGAGTTTCGACACTGACTGTCAGCTTTTTGAGGGGCTTCATGCCAGCACACTGAGGAGTGTGAGCCTATACATTACAGGGTCGAGAGAAAAAACATACGACAGGGTCCCCCAGTTTTTTTCTCATCTGATTGGTGGAGAGAAAGCAGGGACATGTGGAGACATATCCCAAAGATTGGTGTATAGAACAGTGGGTCAACAAGAACACCACTATTTAAGAGATGTCGGCCTGCAACTGAACCATCATCATCCATTGAGCCCTGGTAATAAGATATAGTCAAGGTGCATTCATCTTGATGACCATCAGCGACACTGCGTGACTCGTGATGACTCAGCAATATACGTACAATATTATACCCTAAGCGTTCAAAGCACCAGTTGTTTACCAAACAACCATTGTTTCACTAAGGATTTTAAATAGTGTATACATCTATATGCCGGTGCAATCTACTGGACCAGTTTCCGCTGCGCCATGCTGCAGGAACAACGGAGTCATCGCCATCACCCGCTGTGCCTCCCGTGCTGCGGGTATCGCCTGCTGCATTTGGCTCATTCTCTTCGGATGCTTCGAGAAGTTTGGCGCCTGCATCGCGTCCATCCCCGACTGCGTCTTGGGAGGCGCCATCCGCTCGTAGGTTGGAGGCCAGCTTTAGTAGGTTGAGAGGCCATCGGTAGTAGGTTGAGAGGCCATGGTGAGTAGGTTGGAGGCCTTCATTACTGTACTATTACAGGTTGTTTGGTTCCAAAGAAAGGTGCATGACTGCCCATCGTTTTTCTCCATCCTGCAGCGGAGGCCATTGCTATTACTTAGTTGTTTGGTTCCAAGAAAGGTGGGCGCCTGTCCATCGCTGCCCATGGTCTCGGTCCCAGAGCGGTCGGTATCTGCAGTGGACCGCAGCTGCGGCCCCGCAGATGATGCACCGCCACAGCAAGAAAATGGAGCCAATCCAAAGATGTTCAAAGGGTAAGTAACCATTCCCATCATTCCCTATACAAGTCCAAAAGACCCAACAAAAAAACCTGGCATCCTGAAGTAGTAGATGTTGCGATGTTGTATGTCCCTCTACGTCCTATGATTAAACTTAATGACTTAATACATCACCCATCATCACCCAGCAGTTTGGAATGTCGAGCTGCAGCGGAATAGCCATGCCCAGAATGATGCCGTCCATTTCAAGCACTTCTGAACTGGAACTGCTGGACTGGATCTAGGCATATACCAGCGCCCGACTCTACAGGTCTCCAATCCTTTTAGGGGCCGAACTACACTATGTAGAAGACCTGTTGGAGGGTGCTGGTATATGCTCTCCCCTGAAAAGTCATATGGACCTTGAAAACGGATCCTTGAAGAAGAAACCAGTTGTTTTAGGGTCCATATTGCCGTAGTTTGCAGGGGGTAATTACTTGTCACTCGAATCGGCTCGAACCATTTTGTCCCATGATTTCTTCCAAAGATCCTACTGGCTTTAGCCAGTTCGATCAGAGCAAGGGATGTTTGACTCGAGTCTTGCTCGACTTGCGTCAACTGCTCGTGTCTCTCTGCGTAAAAACACACTTCAGCGGATTTGGGGTGGTTGACAGAAACCGCTGACTATGTATATTCCAATAACCACAGTTCCACGTGGGCCCCGCTGGCTTGCTCAGATCGTTGAAAAACGAGCAGTTCCAGGCATGACCACCTTCTTGTTCGCCAACGTCTTCGTCTCTGGCATCAACATCGTCGGTGCGGGTGGTATGGGCCGCCGCACACGCCACGCGGCGTTGAGGGATGGACTGGGGATGGACGAGAACCGACCACATGTCCGACCCATGAAAAGTGGAGAACCTGCAAAAAGCAACTTTAAGATCGATTAAGGTTGGTTGGGGATTAGGGAAACCATGGGAAACCCCACCAAACAACAGGTGGAAAGGTTGGTTCACCTTCTCTTTTCCAGAGAAACGGCTCGCAGGTCAGCCATCGGGGAAGAGATCTGCGTGGTCTTTTGTGCTAGCATAGCCGGTGCAGTAGAAGGCATTGAATTCTTATATCCAGCATTGGAAAGGAGACCTTTCACAACTCCTTGACCCCTCTTAAGAACACCCCTTATAAAACCTTTTTGAGACATGATGAGACATGCAACTTCACCGACCAAGCAGCCAGCAGCGGTACCCAAACACGTCTTCTTGTTCCGGACGAGTCGACCAGTCGAGGCTTCATCTTGGCGGTGGCCCTGGGTGTGGGCGTCGGAGTGGCTGCCATGCCCAACTGGGCCGAAGGTGGCGGACTTGCAGGAACCGGCGCGGCATCCCTCAGGGTGACGGGAGCGGCATCCCTCGAACGCCACGAGGGGGGGAAGGAACACAGCGGGTACGTGGTCATGATATTGGTTTTTTTTGGCCTGGGGCAGCCTGGAGTATAAGAAACTGATGCCCGAAAGACACTGATGCTCGATTCATGGTTTTGAATATTGGTCCCATGCAGTTGCAAGAGATGTCCAGAGGGGTTCTAAGAGATGTCCAGAAAAAGTGGAGGCTGCACTGAGAAAAGGCTTTAAAGGCATTGGATTTTGTGTGGAACGTCGTTTTTGTTTGAAACGCCAGGATTCCACGGGCAGAACTTGAAGCACAACATCGGCATTCTGGACCGCAGGTGGAGGTGTTGGGGGTTGAGGAGGGTATATAGACTGTTCAGGAGGGTCTAGACGTGGCCAGTTTTGATGACCATGGGGCGACCAACTGACAAAGTGGCTGGTCGAACTGAGTCGAACTTCGAGGGAATCCAATGACCTTCTCAGAAGGTAGACTCTAAGCGTATACAAACGTGTCCGAACACATCACTCTCTCAAAGGGCAGTGGATCCAGAGGGCATGTTTTCGGTGGTGGCCACTTAAAGCTGAAGACAAGGTTGATTCTCATTCAAAGAATCCCCTTCACCTGAATACTGGCTGACGAGAACCCTTGTTTCAAGACCTTTCTTTCCAACCGAGTTCAAGCCGCGATTTTGACAGATGCCACGTCTTTCCTGCCATCTGATGAGTTTCACAAGACCCTGAAGTTGTCTAACTGGGCGGACCATCATAGACTCGTGGTTCGCAAGAGATGGGTGTTTTTCCTCACAGAATGTGCAACGACTCGTAACCCGTGGGTCGACATGGGTTGACTGGTAGGCAGTCGACCTTCGGATCAAGACCGGACTCGCGACCTTTCCCCTGGATCCCATCTGAAGCCCAGACCACATTGAAGATGTGGAGCACTTTGGTGACCAAGAAGCAACTGTAGTAACAAGCGCATCGCTACTAGGAACAAGTGCATCGCTTCTAGTCACAAGTGCCTTACTAATAGTAACAATGTTTGCTATTAGAAACAAGAACGCTACTAGGGTGATTGTAGTTCATTTAGCTCAACAAGGGCTGTCCGATGTTCGCAACACCTTGGTCTACGGCTAGCTAGCTAGGACATGCCAGGACCTTCCCAGTGACCTTTTCAGGATTGGTAAGTGACCTTTTCAAGACCTCATTCTGGGATCTCAAAAGGTCACTGGGAGGGTCCTGGTCTTGCGTCTGTCGAACAGACAGTGCGTGACGCTGTGACGCAGGGACGCACTACACCTGCTGCACAGAGTACTCTTTGGTGACATTCTCACTTGACCAGCCAAGGTTTGTGGCCTGCCAGCGATGTCTCGTGGCAAGCAGGCATAAGCAGGCATAAGCATGCATAAGCATGCATATAGCAGCCTTTGCCTCACAAGACGATTTTGGAGATGATATATCTACTCTGCAAAGATTCAGGGTTGGCAGGATCTGTGGATGAATGGGGAATATCTGGCTGCATAGTTGGCTGCATCCAAGCCACTGATCTCCACTGATATCAGGGGATGTTGGGTTCATTCAATGGGAATTATATATTATATATAATTGGAAGAAATCAAATTCCAACGTGAGCATCAGTAAACTTGAACCACTGGCGGACTCTCTGACGTGTCCTCCTCTTCATTTACCTTTCAGTTCAGATTTCAGTCATCGCAATGTAGCATTGTGGGACGGCGCGTCATCTCAAGAGATGTCCAATCCATGTGTGTGTGTGTTCCCCATGCTGGACGTGTTTCCATTGTGTTCAAACACATCATTTGTCCCCCAATCAGATGGTTTTGCTATGTATTGTTTTAGGACATGTTCAAGACATGTGTTCATTACCGGTACCATCCAAGTCCGGGCGAGAAAAAACGCCGCAAGTGACAGAAGCACCTCCGAGCGATCCGGTGAGGTGTTTTCTCAAACACCGAGGTGTGCGATGTGTTCCCGACGATTACAGTGGAGACGACACCTGCACAATGTCACTGAGATTGCAGTACATCAAACAAGTATACGGTAGCTAGTAGGTAGCTACCGGCACCACCCAAAGGGTGATTAGTAGATGGAACATAGATAGTTCGGGAAAGTCTATGAACCACCCTTTAGGCGGTCCTAGGAGGTATAGCTATAGTAGCTTTGTAGCCGAGGTGCTGTCGGTTGTACCATTCACTTGGCGGATTTTTCAACATCACCTGCATAACTTGGGAGTCACCCACTGAATCTGTTCGATCTCGATGATCTGGCTTCCTCGCAGTCAATGCTGTTTTACGAGAGACATAGGCACTCAGAGATGCCACGCCGTGGCTGTTTGCTCAGGTCAAGTGGGAGCATATACCTCGAACACCATGTCCCAAGCGGACTGTACCGCTGTGTCTGGTACATGGACTGCCGCTGTGACCACGCAACAGACCATCAAGACTTGTCCAGGCGCAGCTCCCCGTGGGATCCTCCTAAGGGGTGGGAAAAAATCTGCCTCATATCTACAATCCCAAAAGCCGGGACATTTGCATCGTTGGCAGATCTATGCAACTGTCAGGACCTTGGGCCATGTTGGACCTCATTTTTGCTGGAGTTGGTCCTGCAAGAACAGACCCCAAACAGTGTTTGAGGGTCTAGAGGACTGAGGTGTAAGGGTGTAGAAGCAGAAGGTCTAGAGATCTAGACGTTTTGGGTTCCAAAGAGATCTAGAGGTGTAGAGGCCTTGAGATCCAGCAGAGAGATGTAGAGGTCTAGAGGTCACAGATCCAGAGGTCTTGAGACGCAGAGAGATATGCATGTGGGTCTAGAGTTCCCAAGGTCTGGATGCCTAGGTCTAGTAGTGTTCTAGAGGGTCTAGAGTCCCGAAACCTACAAGTCTCAAGGTCTAGCGTTTGAGAGGTCTAGAAATAGGGTTCTAGAAAGACTTAAACGATCTTAAACGCCTGTCGACATCCAGAAAGATCTAGAGGCAGGGAGGTCTAGATCTGGAGATGTAGAGGCCTAGGGCTCTTGAGGTCTTGAGACTTGAGATATATGAAGCTATCTAGAGCTATCTAGAGCTTTGGGTCTAGGAGATCTAGAGCTCCTGAGACCCAGTCTAGAGGTCTGCAGATCCAGACGATTCCATGTTGAGACCAAGAGAGATTTGGGTGTCTTTGGAGGTCTGGAGTTGCAGAAGCCTAGAGATCCAGAGGTCTCCAGGTCCAGTAGAGGTCTAGAGGCCTTGAGAACCAAAAAACTCTACCTGTATACACCTAAAAAACATCGCTTTCATGGTCTAGAGGTCTCAGGTTTGCGAGGCCCAGTGGTCAAGAGGCCGGTCTAGAGGTCCAGAGGTTGAGGTCTAGATCTAGAGTTGAAGATCCGGGCTTTGAGATCGAGAGAGAGAGAGAGAGAGAGTTCTAGCGGTCTAGGAGAGTTCTCAAAGCCGAAATCGATGGATGTAGAGGTGTGAGATCCAGAGGTCTGGAGATGTAAAATCGAAGAAGTCTTAGATCTAGAGAAGTTTGAGACTGAGAGAAGGGATCTGGAGGCCTGGGGGTCTGGAGAGCACACGCATGAGAACATATTGCCGCACCCCAACGCCCACAAAGCGCTGCCAATGCCACACAATCGCGTGTGCAGGTTCACAAAGCGCCGCGCCTGCCCCAAAATGGACACTTCGAGGTTCACAAAGTGTTGCGTCTGCCATGATATCTGCACTTTCACGTTCACAAAGTCAAGCGCTGCGCCTGCCAGGGGCTGCGCGTGCCACTACACATCTCAAAGGTCCACATGCAAAGCACTGCGCCTGCAACGAAATCTGCGCATCGAAGTAAAACCGCTCTGGTCTCCCTGCCACAAAAAGTCAATTTTTGACCACCAAAGCACAAGGTTTCCCTTTCGCCTGCCACGAAAAGGGATCACCAAGCACACCGCAACGAGAGCGCAGCCGAGGAAACCACCCGCTCGCGCCCAGTTTCTGCGAGCCTGCGTAGTCGAGATGCACTTCGACGATTTCCAGGTGAAGGAATGCAGCGTAAATAGCAGCGAAATAGCCGTGCGCGGATGCGAGCACTTCGATCAGACACCCTTCTTAAACCATTGCCGCACACACAACCGCCCAGTGTGACCACACTGTTTGCATGGGGAGCTACCCAAGAAGGTTTTCAGGAACCAGGTTTTATTAATGGGCCCGCACTTGTACGGTATAGGTATTGGCGTCTTGTCTGGCCATCGCCAGTCTGTAATATATTCCATTGGAGACCCCTTTGAAGGTGCTGGTGCCCTACAAGGCCAGCTTTACCTAGTAAGACCTGGTCCTGAACCGTCGTGCTTTTGCATGACCAACTTCAGTAAAATGAGGCCTTTGACCTGTAGGGAACCAGAGTGGAGACCGTGCCACGGACAGGCAAGTCGGGTGGCTGCTGCGTCAAGCGGCTCAGCTTCAAGCGATGAAAGCGACACCTCAAGCATCGGGGATGTGTTGTGCTGGTTTGGCAAGGGTTTGGGAGTTGGGGTTGTAGTTGAGATTTGTCCATGTTCTGTGTCGGTGTTACTGAGCAC